GCGATCCCGCCGGCAAGGAAATAACCTAATTGAGGAGTGTTCTCTGTCAACTTCTGTTCATAATATCGGAAGGACATCCACATGGCGACAGTCCTGGGCACGGGAAGCCACTCCAATTCCAAGTCGCCGTCTAGGGATACAGAATCATTCTTGAGCGCAACCCCAAAGTTGAGTGCCTCGCCAAATTCCGCATAAGCTGATGGGATGAGGGCTGCCAAAGCGTGCACCGGGAGGATATTGTACAAAAGGTTCTTTATGGCCAAGATATAACGCGTAGGAAACGAGTGGTCTGTACCTAAACCCTGTAGATCATTGATGTGGACATCTCCTTCCGGGTTTAGATTTCCCGTGGCCGTGTAATATGACAGGACAGCGCGCAGGTTGGAGGACGAATAGGCAGGGAGGAAGAGGAGGAAATCTCTATATATCATAAGGATTAGCCATGACCAAGAACGTCCACTTGACCATCGGTGCACACACCTCCACTCAGGATACGAAATGACGCCATCATTGTTCGTGTCAACTTCCGCAAAAAATGCGTCAAGCTTAGCGCTGGAAACAGTTAAGTCGGCCTTCGCAAAGGCGTTCTTGAGTTCGTTCTTGTCAATCTCTCCATTATGGTTCCGATCGATGCTCTGGAAAAGCCTCCATAGTCCTTGCTCAGTATGGTCGACGAAGGTCCGGAATTCTGGTGATCATTAGGTTGGTAAAAAAACTGGCGTCCAGCCAGTTGCGCCGGAAAGATAAGTCATGATTCGCTGCGCGTGATCTTACCAGAGTAATCAATATACCCATCATTATTGGTATCGACCGATTTCAGGACATTTTGCAACATACTATCCGCATTTTTGAGGGCTGTGGAAGTGTCAGATCCAGAGCAGGCGGGACCATCAGGTGCGCAGCAAGCACGAGACCAAGTCATCGAGAGATATAGCACTCACGGTGATCAATCTTTTTCAGCCCCTTTTTTAAACCGTTGAGATCGAGGCGGCCATCCTTCCGAACACCTAAGTTCTGCCAGAGTTTGGCGACTCTTTCATCACATTCATCTTTGGATTCGCCGGGTGCCATTTTCGGTTATAAGATAATTATCGGCTTTCCGTCATTATTTTCCAGGAGTCACGGGGTTTGGGATCGGAGAAGTCCCTGACAGAACAGGGTGGTTTCAGCTGTGACAATAGCTTGTGCATCGAATCTGTGGGCACTCAGTTATAAAGATAGGAGAGGTTTTGTTGGGTGCATCGTATCTAGCAACAGTTCGAGAACTTGAATGGGGCTCCGGCTAGCCGTGAGAAATCAACCCGCGATGATTTGCTTCTGTTACGACATCCACCGGAACAAAACTAGACTCCGGTCCGGTTCACGGGACTGAAGGGCCTAGCCCTACTATTCCCCTTTGGGATGCCCTTCCTCATCTGAAGGTCAGGTGTCCAGATGACTTCGTTCTTGATGATATCAGACTACATATATGACCCTCATTTATGCCCAAGGAAAAGACAGGCAACTAGGTGGTTCAAAGCGCGGGTGGCCTCTGGATCAATCCTACATTTCTTTGTGTCGATAGTGTCGGGTTCCGTCCCGGACGCTTGGCCGACATATACATACATCCCCTGATTATAATCAAGCCTTCAACAATGACGACTCCCCCCGTCACAAGTGCTTAGAAACTTTAATTAGTATCTTTATTCCTTTACCCTACTTGGACATCTGCCATGGCTGCCAATTACTGGGCGTCGACTCAACGTCGGCATTGGTTATTTACGAAAGAGAGATTAGCAGCCATCCGGGAATCCTTTAAAGAGAGAGATAAGGCTGCGCATTCGCAGTTCCCTTTGCCGGATCAAAGGTTGCTTAATATCTACTTTAGCCAACGTGAGAGATCTAATAGTCTTAACTGTCTTGACCCAAGTATCCAAACTAAACAGTCCGCAGAACTTATAAAGCTCGGAAAGAGGATGTCCACTAGACAGCAAGCGCTTGCAACTGCTCAGGTTTACATCAAAAGATTTTATACCAAGAACGAGATAAGACATACAAATCCGTACTTAGTTGTCAGTACTGCATTTTATCTCGCCTGTAAAATGGAGGAATGCCCTCAACACATCCGATTTGTGGTCGCTGAGGCCCGGAATTTCTGGCCAGGTGAACAGCCCCGACGGCGCCCTCTCTTTTGTTGTCACTAACTTGCTAGTAGAGTTCATTGCCCCGGATGTGTCAAAGCTGGGCGAATGCGAGTTTGCTTTGATATCCGAGATGAGCTCGCAGCTCATTGTCCATCATCCATATCGGACCTTGTCGGAGCTTCAGCCCGAGCTATCTCTAACATCGGACGAGGTAGCACTGGCATGGTCGGTGATCAACGATCATTATCTCACTGACTTACCGCTACTATACCCACCTCACGTTATTGCAGTCATGGCAATCATCGTTGCTGTCGTCTTTAAGCCGAGTCAAACCAGTTTCCACGGGTCTGCGGCTCCATTAGCCGGGGCGATGCGAGATGGTGGGATGAATATCCTTGCGGCCTTGGGCGACAAGAATGGCGTTGGTCCACCTCCTCGAATCCAGAAACTCATCGGCTGGCTTGCTGAAAGTGAGGTTGACATCCGAGCCGTTATCGAATGCACCCAGGAGCTGGTATCTCTATACGAAGTCTGGGAGAATTATAGCGAAAAACACTGTAAGGAGCTACTTGGGCGGATGATCAAAAGCAAGAATCTGGACAAGTAAGGTTACTTGGTGGTTACATTACCTCTCGCATTCTAGTACATTGCGGCGTTTGGGGTTTACGTTGCATTTCGGGAGTTTGGTAGCATTAACAGATGGAACATGTGCAGCATACAAGCATGTACCAGTAAACAATGCTGGACCCTTTGTCTATGTTGAAATTTAACAAGCTCACATAAAGTCCCGATACATGCTGGAGATAAGCTCGCATGAGATCTTCGTAGAGTGATTTCACCTTCAGAGAGGTGGGCTTCGATGAATTCACGTGGACGCCAGCTACAGGATACTCGTGAGCCTCAACGTTCATGCGAGTCAAGTAATCAGGTTAGCAAGCGCTCACGGCACGTGCATACATAGTCACTGATGAAGTACAAGACATCGAGTCTCACCCCTTGCTTGCACTGCAAGATACCTTGCAAGATTGTCTGAAACTTCTTAACGTACACCAGTCTAAAGTATTCTTGTGTTGCTTCGATTGTTTATCTGTAATTGACTACAATATGTGTGTGTCCATGTACGTACATCGTGTACTGTACAGTACCGCAAACAGAACGCAGGGGATGGATGGCTTTCCTAGAAAACCGGGCAACTTGTCTCAAACAACTCCACGATCCATGTGCAAATGCCTGGTTAGGTGGCGGGCCTCGATCATAACAAGTCACTCAGCCTCCATTGCTACCCTTTCAAAGACACAAAACAAAGTGTCTTAAAAAAGGTGGCGGTCCCGACATCCCCCGGAAAAGGTTAGAGGAAGAGTCTCGATTTTTGGATCGTCATCGGCCCCAGATATCGATCAATCTAAAATACGAGAGCCAACCATTCCTTCCGTTGAACCCACCCGGGCGGTCGCAGTGAGATCGGAAAATTATCTAGTGGGGAATGAGGGAAATGTATGTATGTGCTCTTTGTGTCGGTGTAGGTAGTTGTAAGTCTCTTAGCCGCCGCCTTGGATATGTGCGTGAAATTCTTGTCTTTGCAGACAAGGGACGGTGGGACAGCAAAACTCAATCGCACACGGGCGCTTCATGAGGCCTTGGCTTGTTTGGCAAGACAGGCACATCCGTGGAAAGATCGTGTTTCACATCCCTTGCTTTTTGGGGTACCTACATACGTAAAGTTTCGTTTGCATTTACTCCGACGTTTTGGGGTGGCCTATGAGATCGTCTCGTTGGGTGCGCGGTCGCTAATTCGGAGTAATCGACGGGAGAGTTCGAAGGCAAACAACTTAGAATGGCGGAAAGCGACATTGAGAGTTGGTCGATGAGAAGGTATCAAGGCAGCGCTGCTGCTCTTGAAGGACTGTACATGAATGCATCCGTATTTCCTGGTAGATTCTCGTTCCCATGTTTCTAGATATGTTCTCCATCCGTACTAGTCTATAGTAGACACTACATAATACTGTACGCAAATATGTACACAGCTATTTAGTGCATACACGTTGTGCAGGTTAGAGGAAATGAAGTGAGAGACTAAAATTGTCGGAAATACATGAATAATATGATATCTCATTAAGAATGTCAGTATCAACAGTTTCATCTCCAGAGAGGGGGCAGGTTTATGGCTGGGAAGGCGGATATCTACTAACGTCAGACATCCAAGACCAAAGGGGCGGTGAGCTGAGCATGCCGTCTTTCAGGAACATTTTGCAGTATTGAGTTGGTCTCGAAAATCAAAAACACTCGAGCTCATGGACCACCACCACCTAATGGATGCAGGTGAGGGTCTGTGGCACCAATGACGGATGGATACCCAATGCTGCAGCTGAGAGAATCGGGAAACGGCAGGCACCCACTGGGCATCCCTAGGTGTCCATGTGTAGCCCTAGGGCTTGCAGGCTTACTGTGCAGGAACAGTGACCCTATTAGCATGCATCTATGCCGTAATGCTGTTTTAGTAGCCGCCAGCTTGTCTTCCAGTATATTGACTAATTGCATATTGGATCATATACGGCTGTCATGACTGTATTGCAAACACAAAAAAAGATGCGATATTTCGTGAATCAGAAACAGGTCCTGAAAAGAAATTTTATACTAGTAGTTAATTTAGAAATTGCCTTTGCAAGGGTCTTCAGTGAATGGAATTGGGACTATCTATTAAGTTGTTAAGGATTGTTCCTTCTTCTTTATTCTCTTTCTCTATAGTTAGTAACTTTTGATACTAGAATTCAAAACGGCTTATAATAATATATTTTGTAGAGCGCTTTGTTATTTTTATAGTGTATGGCTCTAATTGTTTTACATATTTTGTAACTCTTGTGAGGTAGACATCAACTGGGTTCTATAGTCTAGTGGTCAGGACGTCGGATTTTGAAAACTCCTTACTGGAGTTGAAGCCTTCCGAAAGCACGAGTTCGAACCTCGTTAGGACCTAACCAAGTCTTTTTTTGGATATTTATCATACCTATTTTGCACTTCTCGTCTTCAATCTCATTTTTTAACCGATTTTTTACTAATTTAGTGCTAGAAGAAGAGCTATTTCATTTATACTACTATCGAAATTGAAGCTAAGCACTATGCAAGACATTATTATCTCGATGATTTGTCCATGGTTTTGTGTCTGAGATGCAATTGATGGTCCAGGCGTTCAAATTATGTACATACCCCGTACACGCATGCATTGGCAGCAATTGACAACAGATGCGTCCACGGAGTATTCCCTGTGTCTATTATTATCTATTTTATAATGAGCAACCATTCCTAGTTCGTTTCGAAGGCCGTACGCGCAGACCACAATGTGGCTGGAGCACCATCCGTTCATAATAGCAGAACATTGATTAGGTTGTGGGACAATAAAATCATAGGAACTTATAGTGTCGTCAAAGTCATTCTATGGATGTATTTACTTATGTCTCCTATAATTTTCATGTCTGAAGAAAAAAGAAGAGGAGAATTCTTACTCCGAACGCAGCTCCCGATTAGTACTTGATATTCGGTGCCTATGGTTGCTGGTTCCAAAACAATAAACAAACAAACAAATCAATAATTAATATTATCTAATTCCACTCCCCATCTGAAAGGGATTGGTATGTATTCGTACAAGAAAACAGATACAGTACCGTGGCTTGGGTTCCACGTATGCACTATCCCATACTAAAAAAGGTCATTATTCTTACACTTTTAGGCGATGATACTCCAAGCTAGTTCAACTGCCTTCTCTGTAGTGATGGGGTTTTCAGATCAGGTGGATAGACTTTTATCTTGGAAAACTGTCGAAGCCGCGAAGACCGCAAGGCTATGCCAGCGCAGGATTTGCCATTCATTGTTTATCATCTGAGTTCTAGTCAAATCACATTAAATGGTTGGGGGAAACAAGGATCCGCTCAGACTTCCAGGACCAAGTGGCACGGTTCAAGGGAAAGGTACCGAGAATGATGGCAGCAAATCATCCTCACACAGGGGGTGGGGCCTACCACTTGTGTTGCAAATCATTACCCGCTCATGTCGTAAAAGGCGTTATTATCCTTTTTTATCCTTATATTTCCTTTTTTCTTTTCCCTTTCGTAGCCCAGCAGGTCGTGTCTATGTTCGGAAATGGGTACCACATTCCATTCATGGAGAAATTGTTCAATTACCCGCCTCATTCTACAATGGTAAAATATTAATGCTAGTATTACAATGATATCAGTAGTATACCCTTGTCACCCCCTCCGCGTGTTTGCCATGATCTTCATCACTCATTAAGTAGGACGTTGCAGATCCACAGCCGTTTTCAATAGTAAGGTGGTAGTAGGAGGCCGTCATCCCATGGATTGTTTCAACAGTCGTGTGTATTATATGTGCATCATACAACAAGCCAAGTGCCATCCATCATACCATCCCGCCGTATTGGTGGTCTACGCTAGCGGGTCGGGTATTGCTCGTCAGGTAAAAGGAGTGTATGCAGCCTTAAAGACCAGGCCGACACACTGGAGCCGGGCATCGGCCGACAGCCAGTTATACTCGATCAAGTAATGCTCAGATATCAAGACTGGAGGGATGATGGAGGTCTTCTACGCTAGATAAGGATTAGATTCAAACTTACAACGTCACTCTAGTCCACATTGGTAGCCGCCTCGAGCCGCTCTGAGATGTGTTTATTGGCCCTTATCCATGGTGGCTGTAAGACCTCCACTTGGAGGTCAATTTAGGGAGCAGTTATTGGTTTTAGTGACTTTAGTCTTGCCACTGAGATGCCGCCAACGGCTCTCTGGTTGGATGGCTCTCTTGCCCTAAAACTGGTGCGTGACCTTGTGAGAGTAAGTGCAGGAGGAGCCAGAACAGGCAGATTACCAAACTTACCCTATACCAAGGGAACCCGTGGTGGATCGGCGGAGGGTGTGATACTGTATGTTACAATAGGTTCAATTCCCTTGCGGGTTGCTCCACTCCTTCAGCCCCAGCAGAATGAACACTTGCAGCCCCTCTTGCGTTCGCCTCCGTCCACTCCGGGCTCTTTTTCTTCGCTCTCGGTCTTCATTTTCAACTTCTTGTCCCGCCATCGATCACTGATTCCCCATCCCACACAACCACTAAACGCTTTTTCGTCCCCGACAACACTTCCCTTCAATTTTCTTCTCGTCTTCTTCACTAATTTTTTCCCTCCTCTCGTGAATTTTTCTGCCCTATCTTCAAATTACATTCCAACCGACCCTTGTCATTCTTCCGATAATTTCCCTTTAAAAGTCTGTTTCTGTCCAGGATTCCAGCGTGCTGGTGCCTTGTTTGTAACAAATCAACCTTGAACGCAACGATATAACGGCTACGTTTCTTCCGTTTTATTTACCACCATCACGCCAATATGTCGACATACTTTTATCAGCAACAGCAGCATGCTCACCATGGCGCCGCAGCGCACATGCAGCAAGCCTCCAATAACCACCACGGTGGACGCTCTCGCCGAGGACCTAAGATGGCGGCCCAAAACGCCCAGCGCCAGTTCCGAGGTGTGAAAAGTATGAGGGAGCTCGCTGAAGCTCCTGCGGTAACGGCTTTCCGTGCGAGGTTCGAGGCTGGACGGTCTTTCGACCTGGACGACGACCTGGAGTTCTGCCCCAGTCTCCTGACAGAGGACGATGTATGTTTCTCCACAGCCCGAGTGTCGACTCCTTTGGCTCCTTGAACTCGGGCAGCCTTCCTAGATCAAAGTATTAGGACAGCTTATTGACATGGACCCGGCAGCTTCACTCAATTCACTCCGCCTCTTCAGATCGGTCTTCTCTTTCCAGTGGCTCTCCCGATTCGTCTCCTCTTCAGCATCAAATCCAACCTGTTCAACAGGTTACACCGTCCATCTCTTTGTCACCCGCATCCACCAACTCATTCGTCCATTCCGGGGTTACCGGTAATCTTAATCACGTGAACTACCAGCAACCATCGGCGGTCCGTACACGCAAGGTCATCCCTATCGTCAACCCCAACACGGGTATGACCCTAACCAGCCCGCCGACGTCCATCTCCCCGGCCTCAATGCAGAATGCTCAGCGTCGCTGGTGAAAGCCGCTATCTTGCTAGTCGTCATGTCACTAGCCAATGGTCTGCGCCCATGACATGTTTCTCATTTTGCCAGCTTCTGCATCATCGGGGTTCCCTAACCGCGGGTCTTAATTTTCGTTGCTTTGTTTACTTTCCGACTTGGCCATCGCATCTCTTACGATTAAACCGATATTCCCTCTTACTCTCCGCGATAAAAGGCTAAATTACTGTTACTCTTGTATATACACCCTCCTCCGATGACGATCTCGAGCACTTTTATCTAGAGTGATGCTTTCGACTTTCTGCGAGCGACGGCGCCTGCGATTCGACTTTTGCATATTTCACATTTCAGACGATACCTTGTTTTTTATTTTCTTCGGTTAGGGAAAATACGTACTTTTGACCTCGTGTGGTTATGGCCGCGGTGATGTATAGAAAGCGCGGCAATCTGCCATATTGGCGCGCATTTTATTTTGGTCCGGAGTTTTTTTCTTGGTGTCCTTTGGCGACTATGCAAGATACTCAGCGGTTTGCCATCTGTTTCTGGTACCCTTGGTTTTGGGTGGGTTGGATTTATTTCATGCTTTTAGGGATTTTAGAAAGGTGGAAACGATATACGTCTGCATTGATTGGGCTTGTTGAATTGTTCGGGATGTCTTTTGCTTGTTTTGCTCCTATACTTCGCATTTATGCCTTTACCCTATGGCTTATTTTTTCTCTTATTCTTTCATGTATATGGGTTGGTGATGGGTGACATTTTATATGCTTGTTGCTTCTGGACAACAGCTGTGAAAATCCATGGACTGGATGTGGAGTTATGTTTCGGGGTCTACATAGACCGTTTTCCCTTGAAAACTATGTTCTTTACGTCGTGAATCGACCATCTGTTTTACTTCTTTTGCTTCCACGTTGACTCGTTTGGATATTTATCTTTGTATCTGGGAACTCCCGGAGAGTGATGCACTGTATGATCTTGTATTTCCCGTTTGGGCATTCCGTCATTCATCACATTTCCTTTGTCTATATGTCATTCTAAACTATGCTTGCTGGTCATAGTTTGTGAGAATAGCTTTGGACACAGTCCGATATTTATCAACCACTCCAGGATTGGCAATGACTCTTAAATGATATGTTATCGAGAACTGTGTTCGGGTGTATCGCGGAAGAGGCTGGCAACGTTGGTCCAACAAGTATCGTGGTCATACGTAAAGCGGTTGGCACCGTGCTTGACGAAAACAATGGCTAGCCGGTTGATCCTATCCATAAGTAATATCTTCTTAGTTATCCGATTCTTTTTCTTGCTCATGGATAATCGATAGTTGCCGGAGTGTGATCGCGGAACAGATAGCTATTCCTAGATCCTAGACTTAAGTGTCGATATATATAGCATGGCACCTGGCACGTACCGCCGGTTTATAGAGAAACAACCAGAAAGCAAAGAGGCAAACATCCAATTTTTAACTGAAACAGGTGAGACCAACTACTGTAGCGGCTCTAGTATTGTCCTTGGTCGGAAGTACATTCGCCAAGGTCTTAGGTGCAACCTGACGCTCGTGATGTCATTCCGTGTGTGACCTCGGGCGATCGTTTACATGTCTCACAAAACGCCGGCCATCACAAACCACCAAATATGAATATCCATGTAAAAGAGATATGTGCAAGGGACAAGCCCCTTGGGACGGCTCCATCGTAGCCAATGTTCACATAGTTTAGCCACTGAGCCAACCAAAAAGGCACGGAAGGCTGCCTCAGGTAGAAACGCGAGTGCCTCCCAGGATGGTGTATCCATGACGTCACCGGTGGCTATGTCCCTAATGAATGGGGTCTGGTTGGCCCTCGCATGGAATTTACGGGGATGGATCTTCTCTACGTCGGCTGTTCTTCTTTCTTCCTTTTCTGCGAGGAATTATAAATATTTGGTGTACCGCATCGAATCGAGTGTCATAGACAGCCCATACACACTATACATACAATCAATTGTACTCTTCTACCCACCTGTCTAGATCAGACAACCCTTACTTTTCTCTATCTGGTAAGTATGTCCACGATGGAATCAATTGCAGACAGCTCTGTCTCCTTGATTCAGTGCTAACACCCCCAACACAGAAACCACAACAACTTCCATAACTCTACCTAACAAGATGTCCTTCCTCACCACCGTCCGCTCAACAATCACCTCCCGTCTGGCCCTCAGACCAACCACCACCCTAGCCTCCACCTTCCACACCTCCTCCATCCGCCCGGGCCTTAAAGAGTCCGATCACAGTTAGTCTCACTGCATCCCCTCATCTCTCTCACTCTTGATACTAAGCACTCAACCCCCATCTAGACCGAGAAGACCTACACAACCACTACGAATCCGAGAAACAAGAACAATTGAAGAGCAGCAAGGAAGGAACAAACAAGTGGAAGCAGGAACTGGCTAGCAACAGTGAGGCATCTGTAAGTTTATTATATAATGTTCCCTCCAGAATCTCTTCCATGCAGGGTGGTGATGCTGATGTTTCATACAGGTCAAGGCGGACCGGGGAGATCTAGATGAGGATGCCAGCAGTTTGCAGGAAAAGACGAAGAATATCCCTAACCAGGGTGGGAAGAAATAGATAGGGTTTGAGATTTGTTATGTATTACTTTGTTTCTTTTCATTTGGGGTACTGGGGATCCAATTTGAGTGTCATTTTAGGGAGAGATATGCTTGCTTTATGGAACTGGGTTCTTTATGATGTCATGTATAGCTAGCTACTTCTGAGAGTAATATTAGGTATACAACTAGAGATGGGAAAAGAAGGCCATGCTGGCTGGTGTAGATTGTATGATGTACGGCACAGTGGTTCATGGATATATAGATATGATAGAAAAACACAATACAGGCTAATTGCTATTATATGAGAGATACAGAATTGTACTTGATCGAAGCACTCCAGACACCAGAATAGTTCAACCCATTGAGATAATCTGATCAAACAGAGGAGAATCCGTGACTCCAGTCCCGGAAGAAAAACGCCCTGCGTCTTCAGGAGAACCATACCCCTAAACAAAAACCAGCACAAGAATATGAGGTACGACCAGAAGGTTCTATACGCTCTAGCGCATTACTTCAAAATGACAATGAGGATGACCAGAATAATGATCAATCCGATGATAGTCATCAGACTCCAATTATCCCCCGCACTTCTCCGGATTTTGTTCAGCCGCCGTCTAGCACCATCCAGCCGATTCTGATGTCTTTCAACATCACCATCCATCCCATCAAGTAGCGCGACATGGCCTTCTAGCTCATCCCCGATCTGAATGCTGAGCTGATGCTGCCGCCCGATAGATTCCCCCAGACGATCTAATTGCTCGTCTTGGTCGCGCATGGTCTGGTTGTGCCGATCATAGATTTGTTCATTGGATAGGTCAGATTGGTCTAAACCGGGAGGCGAGGGTGAGTCGCGGTACGGCTGGAAAAGGGTTTGACGTTCGAGGTCGGCTTCTTCCGCGGCGGAGTCCATAAACCGGACGGACTTGGATGGTGGATGCTGCGGAACTGGTTGCTTGAGGTCGGGGGATGACTTGACATTGGGGAAATCAGGCGACTGGGATGGAGGAAGGACGGCGTCGTGTCCGCCGAATTGGGATGACAGATCTTGATATTGCGATTTTAGGTGGAAGAGCTGGTCTTTCAGGTCGGCGGCTCCATCGTCGTTTGCCTGTTCGAGATGTGCGAGGTCTCTAGCCACATCGTCGATTCCTTCGCGCAGCGAGTCCAAAGAGCGAGAGATCTCTCCGTCTTGACTGTTGGGTTCTAGGTCCAGCGAGATGGCTCGTTGCCGTTCTAGGAGGGAGAGTTTAATGTGATCTGCAAGGAGAAAGAGCTGCGATGGAGTCGGCATCGTGATCTTAGATGGTAGGCCTGGTATGAGAGATTGACCTGTAGCAGATAGGCGGCTGAAGTGTCGCAGTCAGCCTGATTGATGAGGCAATGCGGAGAAGAATAAAGACTCGGCAAGTTCTCTAGGGCGTGACAGTTCGGGATCGTATCGGGTACGAGTGAAGGGATGAGCCACTTGCACCTGTGGAGTTGGCTGACCTACAGGGGTCAAGAATGCCAGGATGAGAGTTGAATGACGGGTAAAGGAGTCGTGGTGGAATGGAATGAATGAATGAGGATGAGGGTTGAGACACCGAGGGGGTGAGACGCAAAGGAGTGTGTTCTCGGCCGATCGCGGGACTGATCTGCCGTCTCCGCCGCCATTGAACCGCTATCAATTATCGTTCACCCATTTCTTTTTCCCCCGCAATAGTTCTACTCCCGATTTCCATGTCTCCGATTTCCAACTTCAAATCCCCCCTACTCATTTCTGCTCTTTCTTTGTGGCTCTTCGTGAAGCTTGTCGCAACTTTGAATCAGGTAACCACATTTCCTGCGAACCTCAGCCGCTGTGTAACCTTCATGCGTGCCTCTCGGGTCTATTGTTTCATCCTCTCATCCCTTCGGCAATCCAACAGACGACCGCTCTCGATCGCCCCTAAATTGCTTGTCACCGGCGCGACAGGGCCGCGAGCCTTCGAAATTATAAATCACACGCGCCAGAAACAGGGCACTTGAATTTCTACAAGATGAATCTTGAAGAGTTTCTTGCGATGGAGTCGAACTGCGAGCTCGAGGAGATTATCGACCTCCGTTCCCTGGACTATGTTTCCAGCTATGACGACCATCTCATGTGTGCAATATGTCACTGCCCATATATACGTCCAGTGCGATTGCAGTGTGACCATGTGTTCTGTCAGAAATGTCTGAATACCGCTATCACTACCTACGCCGCAGGCCGAGACGAATTCAGATGCCCCAGCTGCCGAACGCCGACGAGCGGTGTTTACCTCAATGTCCCTCGATTTTTAGTCAACATGTGCGATGATATACGGGTCAAATGCCCATTTGACGCTGAAGGGTGCAAAGAGGTCGTTCCGAGGGGCCATATCCAGTCTCATGTCGATAAATACTGTGGCTATAGGCTTATGGACTGTCCAGACGTCTTCTGCAACAAGAAGACACGGAAGAAGGATATCAACGCAGAGAACAAATGTATGCATGAGCTTCATACATGCCTACGATGCGATGAGGATATCATGGAACAGGATTATGAGGTGCGCCGTACTTCTCTGTTGTATCCCATGCTGTGGGCTGACGAAAGGTTGAAACTGTAGGAACATGTACAGGAACTATGTCCAAGCCTAAAAACAACCTGCCCCGATTGTGAGACCACTGTATTTCGCAAGGCTTTGAGAGAACACATAGATGCCTGTCCAGAGGCGATTCATAGCTGCTCGGCATCGAAGTACGGGTGTCCTGTCAAAATAAAACGAGCGGAGCTAGTGGCGCACGAGCAGAACTGCCCGTTGATTACCATGGGGCCTTATTTCGAAGCTCAGAATGCGCGGCTCGACTCTATGGAGTTGACTATCCGTCATCTTCAGCAGCGCAATGAGATTTTCGAGGACGGACTTTCAAACATTCGTTCTACTCTTGTCGAATCGTCACGCGCTATCTCTGGACGAAACCCAGACATACCGGTCGAGCCCAGCAGCCAGGCCACGCCCCCAAATCCACCCGAGTCGGCGAATGAACAATTTTCGTCCAATGCAACCACCTATCTACTCGCTCTCCACGAGTCCCTTCGGGAAGAAGTCGGGCAGTTGTCACATGCGATCACGGACTTAGATGCCCGGGCCAGCATGGCGATAATGAATGAATGTCTTCGTCTAAAGGAGGATATGGCACATACGAATGCTGCTGTCAGTAGCATTCGAATGCAGGTGCAATGGCTCATGAACCCCCGCATCCACCAAAGCCAGCGGACGGGAGTTCGCAATAACGACAACGAAACGAGGGCTGGTCAGCTAGGATCCTCAACATCAGGACCAAGCAATGCTGCTGGGCCCTCTCCGGGCCTCCTTAGACCCCGAAGGCTCAGCGACGGCGGACGCGAAGGAACCAAACTTTGATTGTGTGAGTGTGTGTGTGCTCATCATATAAATCGGCTCGGCGAATAACGATGTCCGCTATACTGCTTTACTAGGCTAATGTCCGAGGAGACGGTGCTGTACTTTTTTTTACTGCTGTCTTTTTGATACCCAGCGTCCACTTTGTTAATGTAATGTAGTAGTCTATAGATAGCCCTAGGATGTTGGGGTGATCAGATTTAGACCTGATGTACTACCAGGGTTACTTTGTCACTTTTATTTACAAACTCATTAATATAGACTTGTCTGTCCTCAATCATACTGTGCAACTATGCTTCAATACATCACTCCCAGGTTTAACATTTACTATGTCTATATCGCCTCCTTGGGAAACCACCTTGGGGATGAGAGAAATACTGGGGCTCTTCGGCGACCAACTTATCAACTGGATGTTTCTAGGATAAGACATCAGGAAAAAGAAAAAAAAAAGAAGCCTCTGATCAACCTTTTCTCTGTTGGACACGAACGGAAAGAAGCTAAAGAAGCAAAAAAGAGGTCCCAGCGAGATTCGAACTCGCGCCTACGGAAGACTTCAAACTCCGATATTGAGTTATCAAAATCCGACGTCCTAACCACTAGACTATGGGACCCACATGTGGGGTTTGGCGCTTCTGATTTGAAACCATGGTTGGATAGCTTCTTATGGTTAAGACAGCAAATCATTCGAGGACGCCTAAGGCGCGTGGAACAGTATCTTGATAACTGGGGTTTTTTACACGGTGATATTAGTGACATCGTTACAGACTAGTTTTCCATGCCAGTTGAAACTTTTTCTCACCAGCTGTGCATCGGACCATGATCCGCCCGCACTACGTATTATCCCCACGGGTAAAAAGAGTGGGGACGGACAAAAAAGATACAGTCTTATGCATTAGCTGGGAGTCGAACCCAGAGCACTTGCTCGCAAACGAGCATGGAAGGCAAGTATGTTACCGCTACACCACTAATGCTTACTTGCGAAAGTCAAGTAAATTGTTTAAATATATTAAAAGTAGATTCTAGGAAGGCAATGCTCATTTTGAGAACGGATTGGATGCTGTAACCATACGGAGTACTAGTAGGTGTAATGCTTCTTTATACTTATTTCTTCTTGACTATATTAGAAGAACAAACAAATATGAATGACCAACTGGTGCAATAAAGATACCATGGCCATTGAGAATGGCGGGCTGTATGATATCTGACTGAAGCCTAGGTTCCTAAGTTTCAAGCCATTTCCTCCCCTTCATTTCTGAAGTATCTAATCTCTCGACCTCCCGGGTGTTGAGGATTTGAGCCAATGACTAAAGAATGGTACCTAGGATTAGATCTTGGTATGGAAACCCACCCCAGACTCGCCTATCAGCACCCTCTCGCAACCCATTCCCAACTGGGAATAGGATCCTCCCCGCACAACCACATCCCCATTCCCATACAATAAGACCAGTCTGCTGCTTCTCAAAACAAGTCAGCCTGACCACAACAAAGTAGTTGATGTATGAACCCAATGACTCGACGGCCGAGACTCCGAGGCATATCCACGCGGGGTGGTGATATCAACCGGAGCTACTTCACATGCGAACCATTCTTAACTCCCAGTCTGGGGCTTTAGTCTGATGGATCCTCTCCCATGGTCCATTCAGGAGCCACATTTCTTTTTGTTGGGAAAAAAGATCTACAGATGAAGATCTTCACTTCAGTATTCTTTCATCATCAGACATAGAAAACCTCCTCTTCGCCATCTTTCACATGTAGAAACACAATCTTCTTCCCGGACTAGACCCGGTGGGCTCCTCTAGCGACATCCGGGCATGGATATAAAGTATGGATCCCTCTCCAACCCCTCGTAAGGAGGGTCGGTGGCCATATCCAGATCAATATCAAGATCCAATATATCAGCTATACAATGGCTGCCAAGCCCAACCCAAAGGACTCCATGAAGTCCACATGGCGACAAGCACCGCGAGACACATGGACAATCCATCACTGGGCCATCGAACTGCTCAACGTGCACCCAATAGATCTCGATAAGGAAATCCCAGTCCACACCAAAGACGACAAAATGCCCTATCTCCCGCAATGGTCCCTCAACCTCTGGGTCCTCTTTTACTCATCCCTCCCACTCCTCCTGCACCAAGTATACGCCACCTACACAGGCCACATGCCAGGCCCGATAACCGTCTTCAACTTCTACTTCATGGCCTTCAACGCCATCGTTATCTACGAGGTCCACATCCTCCGCCGTCTAGCCCACATCCATGGCTTCCTAGACGGCGACAAGCACGAACGAGACGGCATCCCCGACGTAGGAATCGGTAAGGTCGTAGCCTCGCTCTACAAGACAACCGGCTCCCGCATAGTACTATCCGTCTACCTAACCTACAACACCGCCCAACTTCCCTCGCAGATGAACTGGCTCTACCTGCCCCTGGAAATAGGCCTGTACGGCATCGTCCTCGACTTCTGGTTCTACTGGTATCACCGTCTCATGCACGACGTCAGCTTCCTCTGGAGATTTCATAGAACCCACCACCTCACCAAGCATCCCAACCCACTCCTGGCCGCATATGCGGACCACGAACAGGAGTTCTTCGATATGGTTGGCGTGCCTGTCATGACTTACTTCAGTCTCAAGCTTCTGGGTCTCCCGATGGGATTCTACGAGTGGTGGATCTGCCATGAGTATGTTGCTTTTGCTGAGGTTTTGGGCCATAGTGGCTTGAGGGTGCATCTTACGGTGCCTTCGACGTTGTCTTGGTTTTTGCAGTTCTTTGACGCGGAGATTGTTATCGAGGATCATGATCTGCATCATCGGAAGGGTTGGAGGAAGAGTCATAATTATGGGAAGCAGACGAGACTTTGGGATAGGATTTTTGGGACCTGTACGGAGCGGATTGAGTCTGTGGAGAGGAATATTGATTATGTTAATACGGCGAGGATGCCGCTTTTTTGATTTAATTGGTTCTTTTGTTCTGGTTCTCCTTTTTTGGTTGTTGTGGTTGTGTTGTCTGTTTGGGGTGGGTGATTTGTGGTGTCTGTTGCAAGGTAGAGGCCGAAGTACACTATATGGGGGGGAGCAAGCGCCATGCCTTCGACTAGGCGGCAGATGAGGGATGAAGGGAAGAAAGAAGGAAAGGGGGAAATAAGAGAAGCACTGCGTTGCCGGACAGTCTAGTAGTTGCCCTTCGTTAACATTATGTCCCTGTCCGGTTCAAAAATATATACACTCGTTATGATAGCCTGAATGTTATACCCGAACAAATCCCATGATCATTGATATTAACAAGGAGTTGAGGAATATTACATCTCTTGAGATTCAGTACAAAATTTTACTAAGCTCTGAACCTCCCTGAAATTTTTGGATGATGGAACTATCTGTCTTTCAATTTGACCACTTCTTTGCATGAAGTGTACAGTATCTTCAGGTATACATAGGCTTCTGTTTTAAGGAGTATATCACACATCAGCATTAGTGGTGTAGCGGTAACATACTTGCCTTCCATGCTCGTTTGCGAGCAAGTGCTCTGGGTTCGACTCCCAGCTAATGCATCAACTATTATTTTTGCTTTCCTTCTCTCTAAGAAAGTCAATTAATTAATCTTTAGCAATCTAGTAGATCGATCGATCGATCTCTTTTCCCTGGTTGTCGGTGGTGATTGGTCCCTTTTGTTCTTTTACTTTTTTCCCTCCCCTAACAATATCCACCTCAAGAAGCCATTGCTACGCCAATACGTTGCCAGCTGCCTCGTGACTAAATTGCATTATCCTCAAACGAAGGCATCGGTGAATCTAGAAATAAACTGGTCTTCCTCACCGTGTACAGGTAAGCTTGTCATTCTATCTTGACCTCTCAAGCTATGAATTTCAGTCTTTGTTGGCCAAAGCGACGAAACCTATTCGAAGAAAACAATCCTCCTTTCATCATCGCCCCCTAGGCTTGTTTATTGAGCTGGACTTAATCTCTGTTCAGCGTTGAGCTCTGAAAGGAAGTGGACTGGTTATTTCTCAACTTTACCGAACCATTAAGACAGACCTAGTAATGGCATGTGGCTTTTGGACACCATGGTTTACATAGAGCTCATTGTATGTAGAATTGACATGTCTATACTGTTTATTGCTTTTATGCTTCTCTAGTGCCGAACGAGAGACTGGGCCTAACCTGGTATGGATCTCTCTTAAGACCACAAGTCTCGATCCAAACACCACGCACAACCGTCCGTCCAACCTGTCCATTAGATCGAAGGCAAAGACATCGGCATGTCCAACGGCCAATCACAGACGTCAGAATCAGCACCGAAATCCCGGCGAGTCTGCCGATGCTGAGGTCACGTGCCATATACTCCACTTACCGAGTTTCTGTTCCGTTGCGACTCCAGATGTTCGGAATGAACGACGGCACTGACGTTCTCAGTGCTTCCCCACATGCTCACCTACTACTCTTCCGCTTCCCCCCCAATTACATAGCGTCGCTCTCCATTGCTTACTAGCCCAGGACCCTCCTCTCCTGCAGTCTAATGCTTGGAGACGAACTTAACAATTGTGGTACTGGTCCTTACATTGATCCAACCGAAAATGAATGCCGTTGTGGTTCTCCGTTGCACGCCGCGATGCAGCTCCTCGGGACCCCTACCCCAGGCCTTTTTTATTCATATACGAGCGCTTCACCCTCTGTAATTCCCTTCTTTTTGTATCGCCATTCTCTTCATACCTTTCACTTAATCACATTCCCCTGCTGGTGATGCTTTGGCATTTTCCTACTTGATATTCTCCAAGATCATTACCTCTCACTACTATTTGTCGATCCCCACCCCACAACCGCAAACACTAAAGCAATCGAAAGCTTGCTTGCCCCGGTTTAACGCCATTATGGCTCCTCACACTCAAGAGAAATATGACATCGTTATTGTTGGCGCAGGCCCTGTGGGGATTCTTCTGTCCCTATGTATGTCACGATGGGGCTACAAGGTAAAACATATCGACAACCGTCCGGTGCCCACCGCTACAGGCCGCGCCGATGGTATCCAGCCTCGTTCGACAGAAATTCTTCGCAATCTCGGCCTGAAGCGCCAGATCATGGCCTACAAGCCCGCCAAGGTCTATGATGTAGCGTTCTGGGATCCTCTCGCTGAGGGCAAAGGTATCCACCGCACTGGCAGCTGGCCTAGTTGCCCACGATTCATCGACACCAGATACCCATTCACAACCCTTGTTCACCAGGGTAAGATTGAGAGGGTATTCTTGGATGAGATTGAAAAGGCCGGCACCACGGTCGAGAGACCCTGGACTATTACTGGGTTCAAGAATGATGGCCTAGATGAGACTTATCCCGTCGAGGTGCAGCTCAAGTGCCTTGACACCAACGTTATTCAGACAGTTCGCTCTAAGTATCTCTTCAGTGGCGAAGGTGCCCGGAGCTTTGTCAGGCAACAACTCGGGATTGAGATTCGTCACAAGGATCCTATCTCCTATGTGTGGGGTGTTATGGACGGAGTCGTGAGGACAAACTTCCCTGACATTGAGGTGAGCAATCCTTAGATTCCGTGGCTTGACTGAGTGTATCCTGACAACTTCTCTCTATTATAATAGACCAAGTGCACCATCCATTCTGATG